AGGACACTAACATAGTTGGTAACTATTTTCTGAGCCTGATTCTACAACTTTCTCACAACTTCCATGAACTACCTGATGTGTTCCCAATAGATCCTTTCCTGGTAAAACTAATCAGAGTTGATTTCCAGTATGTCCAATAAAGGACCCAGGCCAGTATGATTACAGGTTGACCCTCTGAGGTTCCCTGGTAAGAAAACCTAGGACCATCAGCGCCTTGGTCTCCATTTGCCTCTGCTCAGCAGTCACACTACCGTGACAGGGATCCCTTTTCCAGGTTACAGTCCTTGCCCGCTCTGTGGTCAGAGGGCTGAGGCTTGTGACTGGCAGCCCCCCAGAACCACACAGATTAGGAGAAAGGCTGGTTTGCCCAAAGCAGTGAGATAAGTGTTTTTACCAGAGGAAAGAGGAAAATGATAGTGGTCAGTTGACAGCAACCCATTGTAATTAACTTAATATAAAAGGCATAAAAGGCATCTTCGTGTCCATGAGTCAGATTGCAAAAAAGAAGAAGAGGAACTTTCAGTTAAATATGGTAAATTAAATGTGCTTGTCTATTATTTTTTCCCCTGAAATTTCACACAAAAACACACACACACACACACACACACACACACACACACACAGACACAAATGGTTTTTAATCCCAAAAGTACACATAGGACATGAACATCAGCATCAGCAAACCAAACAAACCACAAAGCTTTGAAAACTATGAAACAGATGGAAAAATTATAATTGACCTTTTTTTGTTTGGTTTTTTGATTTTTTGGTACTGGGGATCGAACTCGGGTCCTTATGCTTACAAGGCAAGCAAAAGAACCACTGAGCTAAGTCCTCAGCCCTATAACTGACCTTGTTAAGCAAATGAAGCAAGACCTCAGCCTTCCAAGAGGTGGAGACCAAGAGGCAGCCAGCCATTCTATCCTGGTCACTGAGAGGCTGAGGACTGGGGGGCATCAGTGCTTCTGTGTGTGAGATGCAGGCTTCCTGCCTCATAGATGTAGGTGGACAGAGAATCTGATAAAATCCAGTAATGTAAATATAAAATATATTCAAACAGATTAATCGGTATGCTCTATGTACCTCTAGAGAAAATTAATATATCAAATATTTAAAATATAAGCAGATAACCCAAAACTATAAAATATTTGATCAAAGCCTCCAATATCAGCAGTTAATCCCAAAGAAAACTAAGACAATGCAAAGATCAAAACAAGATCATGAAACAAACAAACAAATCTCAATAAAAGGGTTAGAAGACAGTGCCAGGTTTGGTGGCACACGCCTGTAATCCCAGCACTCAGGAGGCTGAGGCAGGAGGATTGCTGTGAGTTCTAGACAAGCCTGGGCTACATAGTGAGTTTCAGGTCAGTCTCAACTACATATGAAACCCTGTCTCAAAAAAAAAAAAAAAAAAGAAACAAAAAATAAATAAATAAAAAAGGGTTAGAAGACAAAATGAAAGAAATCAAAAGTTAAAAACAATGAACAATAGAGGAAACTACGGTATTCCACAGTGACCAACATCTGAGCAACAGGGTATCTAGACAGTGAAAATTGGAAATTATCAAATAAATCAAACAAGAAAATTTTGTTTTATACATGTTAATTTACCACATTTATTTTACTATACCTGTTTGGCACCAAATGAAAAGTCTCCCCTTGGCAGGGTGTGTTGGCGAATGTCTATATTTCCATATACTCAGGAGGCTGAGGCAGGAGGACTGTAAGTTCAAAGCTACCCTGAACAATTTAGCAAGACTCTGTCTCAGAATTTTTTGACACCGCCACCCACCTCTGTGCTGGTGCAGTCCTCACTTGCTCTGCTCAGCCTGGGTGTGGATAGCACTCAATCCTCACTAAAAGCTAACCTCCTGTGTGTCACCCAGGGCCTCCTCTGCTTTGAATCCTCATCTGAGTTAATTTCCACATTTTATGCTATGCTAAATATTTTATATTCTATAAACAGCACAACAGTGTTGTATATATTTTATTAACAACAAACATGTCTGTGTGTGTGTGTGTGTGTGTGTGTGTTATGGTAAAAAAGCTTATAAATTACAACCCAATAATCTATAGTAAATATGTATAGTTTGTATCTAATACAATGATGTTTTTGTTTTTGTTTGTAGTTCTAGGAAATGCACCCAAAGCCTGTGCACTGAGCTACATTCGTAGCCCTCTTTTATTTTTTATTTTGATACAGGGTCTTAATTGCTAAGTTGCTCAGGCTGAGTTCAAACTTGTGATCCTCCTGCCCCAGCTTCCCAGAATGCATAGATTACAGGTATGCACCACAATGTGTGGCTAAATATACTTTTCTGGTACACAAAACATTCTGTCAATCTTTTAGTATGTACATAACAGTAAACAACTTTCATAGAATTAATCAATCATAGGCTCAATGTTCATTATATGAATAAAAATTAATCACAGGAAATCCCCAGGGTCAGGTTACAAAGTTATCTCAATAAGTAATCAGTCTAAGTCATTTTGGTGGCTAATGTCTGTAATCCCAACATTTGGGATGCTGAGACAGGAGGACTGTGAGTTTGAGGCTAGCCTGGATTAACTAGCACAACCTTGTCTCAAAAAACAGGAACAAAAGAGGAAGACACCAGATGTGATCCCACTTAGGAGGCTGAGGCAGGAGGATCACTGCTAGTTCAAGTTCAGCAGGGGCTACATAGTGATTTCCAAGCCAGTCTAAACTACTTAGGGAGACCCTGTCTCGAAAAACTAAAAAAGAAAGGAAAAGAAATAAATTTAGGTAGTCTAGTTTACTGTTCAAGTAAAAATTCAAATCCCCTCTTACCAACCCAAGTACTTGGTGGAGAGGCATACTCAAAAGCTATTTTACATGAATCACTTGGATAAGAGCTATAATCATTTAATTTTGCAAATGAGGTTGGTTTTTTTACTGTAAGGAAGGTTTCAGCAAATCACTTTTTTTTTTTTTTTTTTTTGCTACCAGGGAGCGAACTCAGGACCTTGCACTTGTGGAACCAGTGAGCTAAATCCCCAGCCCTGGAAAATTACTTTTTAAAATTCTTAGTGCAGAAATCAATAGGTAATAGAACTTTTTAAAGTACACTTTATAGCTGGCAACTAATAAGCCTTCAGGCACAACATGCATTATGCTTACTATTTCCTAAATAAAAGCCTGAACCAAAATGAGCAGAAAACATTTTATCAGGAAAATAAGAATTAACTTGAAATCAGAACTAGTCTAGGGTCAAGTTACAAAGTTATCGCAATAACTTTAGCGCCATCACTAAAAATATACATAAACACAGGGAGGGATACCATTCAACCAAAGAATTGTGTTTTGTTTTGTTTTGGGTTTTTTTTTTGCAATATCAGGGATCAAACTCAGGACCCTGAGCTTGTGAGGCAGGTACAGTGCCACTGAGCTAAAACCCCAGCCCTAAGAATTCTGTTTATTTAACCACTTAGATTTCAAGAACACATTCTTAGCACAAGAAAAAAATAATTTTTCCTTGCAAGCACCAGGTCCCAAGTTCCATCCCAGACCAAAAAATAATAATTTAAATATAAGTTTTTGGTTTTTTTTGAGACAGGGTCTTGCGATGCAGTTCATGCTGGCCTTGAACACACTATGTAGCCCAGGGTGGCCTGGATCTCACAGCAATCTTCCTGCCTCAGCCTCCTGAGTGCTGGAACTACAGGCCCGGTTTATGCTGCTTTTTTAAAATTTATGTTTATTTATTTTTGTGACACTGGAGATAAGAGCCCAAGACCTTGCCTATGCTAGGTAAGTGCTCTACCACTGAGCTATGCCACCAGTCCCTGTACTCTTCTTAAATTCAATGAGCATGTGCCATTACCAATGAAATGATAAACTTTACATTGGATTATAGATGTTGACAAACCTGTGTATAAAACATACGATTTCTGCTTGGCGTGGAACATGCCTGTAATCCTAGCCATTCAGGAGGCTGATGCAGGAGAATCGCAATCACAGCCTGAGAAACTTAGAGACCCTGTCTCGAAAATGAAAGAGTTGAGGGTGTACTTTAGTTGCAGAGTGCTTGTCCAGCATGCACAAGGCTCTGGATTCAAGCCCTTTTATCACAGAAGGAGGAGAAGGAAGCGGGCAGGGGAAGGAGAGGAAGAAGGAAAAGGTGAGGAGGAAAGAGAAGAAAGTCTTCTCAGATCATTTCCTTTCTAAGTACATGTTTGTGGCACATGTTTACCTGCCTTCTGGGGTGTTGGTACGTGATAAACCCTGATTCCTTTTGCGGGGGGGACTGGGGATTGAACTCAAGTCCTTGCGCTTGCGAGGCAGTTGCCAGAACCACTGAGCCAAATCCCCACCCATTCCTTTATTCCTTTCCTTTCCTTTTCTCCCTACTCCATTCATCTCCTGATCCCTTTCCTCTTCGAGAAAGAGCAGTCTTCCTACTTCCTATTATCTTTTATTTTTCTCTTTATTTATACTTTGAGGTTCTCATACAACAGAAACCATGTGACATTTAAGCTTCTGTGTCTGATTTATTTCACCTAACATTAGGGTCTTAAGGTGCAACAAGGGCAATAAGAAATTATTTTACTTGAATGGTATCCTTATGACAGTTAACTGGTTGTGTTCACTTGAGTAAGAAACACCCAACTGAATTGGATCAGTGTGGTTCAGAGGATTTACCGAAGATGGAAGACCCACCCTAGGGTGGCCTGCTGCCTGCATGGTATCAAGGGGAAACGAAAAAGGAAGGCTTATTTCTGTTTCTTTCCAGACTTCGCCTTCACTTTGTCTCCTGGCTTCCAGAACAGACCCCTTGGCCTCCTAATACTGACTCGCACGAAGTACAGTGAGCTCCAGGCCTTCAGCTGGTAACGACGGGCAGTGATGTCAGAAGCACTGCCCATGTCGCTAGGCCACAAGTGCTAAGTGCAGCCTATAGGTCAATAAGCTCAGGATGTCCAGCCTGGGTAGTGGCCCGTCATTCCACAAGTGCTTACCAGGTTCCATCACTAACCTTTGTCAAGGCAGTCTTACGTTCAAGCTGACAGAAGGAAGGGACCAGCTCTTTTTCTTGCTCCCTGAAGAATCTTTCAATCTGGATATCTCTCTTGAAGTCAGCTGTATCAATCCAGAAAAAGCATGCATTTTGGAATCAGAAGGATTTTGCTTTAGATAATGTGCTTAACTTATTTGCACTTCAGTTTCTATGCCTATAAGAGAAGTAACATCTGGGCCGGGGATTTAGCTCAGCGGTTCCACCGCCTGCCTTGCAAGCGCAAGGACCTGAGTTTGATCCCCAATACCAAAAAAAAAAGAGAGAGAGAGAGAGAAATAATATCTACACTACATCTATGAGGAGCCAGCGTATCTACATTATACTGCTGTGTATTTATCACAATGTCGATTATAAAATGTATAATTAATTTCAGTTTGTGCTCTCTGCCTGACTTTAGAATTACACTCATAATTGGACAGCTAGGAGCTTTGCTCTCACTGCCAGCGTAGGCCTGGATGGAGTCAGATGCACCAGGGTTCCAATTTAACCTGCTATATCTTAACTTCTGTACTTAGGAAAATCAGTTAACTTCTCTTAGCCTCCCTATTTTTCCTTTTTTTTTTTGGTTTTTGAGACAGGGTCTCACTATGTAATTGAGACTTGACCTGGAACTAACTATGTAGCCCAGGCTGGTCTCAAACTCACAGCGATCCTCCTGCCTCAGCCTCCCAAGTGCTGGGATTACAGGTGTGCATCACCACACTGGGCTCTATTTTTCCATTTTTAAAACAAGGAAAAAAGGGCCGGAGATGTAGTTCAGTGGTTTCGCCACCTGCCTCGCAAGTGTAAGGACCTGAGTTCAATTCCCAGTACCCCCCCCCGAAAAAAAACAAAAACAAGGAGAAAAAGCTGGGTGTGGTGGTGCACACCTGTAATCTCAGCACTCACCAGGCCAAGGCAGGAGAATCGATCGCTGAGTTCAAGACCAGCCTGGGCTATATAGTGAGTTCCAGGTCAGTCTCCACTACATAGTGAGACCGTCTCAAAAAACCAATAAATAAATAAAATAAGGGAAAAATTTTTTTCTCCCTAATTCACAAGGATTTTTGTGGCATGAAACTGGACAATCTATGTCAAAATGCCTTTTAAATAACAGAATGCAAAAGTAAGCTATTTTTATTATCAGTATTAATATTATAGGTAATAGAATTCTTATGACCAATATTTAATTTTAGTATTCCTCACAGATAATTTATGGGGGGGGAATTACCTCCTTCAAGAAAAGCTAGTTATCTCATAGCCACTCTTTTTTATATTGAAAAACAATTAAAATACACCTTTTAATCTGTTTGCTACATTAGTAATTTTTTGGACAAATCTCCATATTTAGCTTTCTTTTCTTCTTTTTTCAATACTGGGGATTGAACTCAGGAGCCTTGCACATGCTATGCAAGCACTCTACCTCTAAGTTACTTCTCAACCCCTTTTTAAAAATCTTTGATTATGTCTGCCTTGCAGGTCCTGAGTTTGATCCCCAGTACCAGGGTGGGGGGTGACATTTCTTTTTATTTGAGACAAGGTCTAGCTGAATTGCCTAGGCTGTCCTCCAACCTCCAATTGTCCTGCCTCTGCCTCCTGTGTAGCTGGGATTATAGGTGTGTGCCACCAAGGCCAGTTTGGCTTTCTTATTTATACAGCAATTCCTACCTGACTTGGTTACTAGGACAAATACAGAAACATTGAGATGTCAGATTTTTTAAAAAGGAGTCACCTGCATTCAGATGAGTTATTCAAGTTCTTTACCTATGATGTTGTGGACAATGATCTTTTGTTAGTGACTCAACTATTTACAATTTGGCAACAGCTTTGCAAATTTAGGCACTTAAAGCCTTTTTTAAAACACATGAGCTAAGGTGGGGCATTTAGCTCAGTGGCACTGCACCTGCCTCACCAGCACAAGGTCCTGAGTTCAATCCCTGGTATTGGAAAAAAAATATTTTTAAACACAAAATATGTGAATGTACTTAATGGTGCTGAACTGTACACTAAATACTGGTCAGGGGTAGGGGTAGCTCAGTAATAGAGCCCGTGTATAGCATATGCAAAGCACGGGATCGATCCCCAATACCAAAGAGAAAACAAAAGTTGAAATAGTAAACTTTGTTATGTAGACTTTACCACAATGAAAAATTAAATAAAATATAAATTTATGGGGAATTGAGATGGATGGGCCTGAAGCTCAGCGATAAAGCACTGAGTGTGGGTGAGGCCCTAAGTTTGATCCTCAGCACTGTCCCCCCCAAAAATCACAACACATTTATCAGATTATTTCTAGGGATCTAAATGATGGAGTGAAATTCAAGGCTAAAATATTTTCTCTTGGGTTTTTTGTTTTTGTTTTTGTCATCCTGGGGATCAAACTCCTTCTAGGGAAGCACTCTCCCATTGAGCTACATCACCAATGAATGTTTTAAGAGACTTAGAAGATCAACTTGATCTTCCCATGCAAATGCAGAACCTGCCTTTCTACATTACAGGGACAATTTTTCTACCTTACTATTAAACAGTTTTCTTCCTTCTTTTTGGGGAGTGGTACTAGAGACTGAACGCAAAGCCTTTACCCTGAGCTACATTGCCCAGTCTCTTTTATTTTTTATTTTGAGACATGGTCTTGCTAAATTGCCTGGGGCATCCTCAAACTTCAGATAGTCCTGGGACAATAGGCATGTGCCACTGTGCCCAGCTGACTTACTTCTTGGAGAGTTTTTTTTTTTTAATTACAGCATGGCAAATATTTCCACAAAGATTAATCATAACATACTTCATAGTTCATTAAATCTTTTTTCAAAATCCATTTACATTTTTTAAATGTGTTCTCAACTTCAGAAATTTTAGAAGAACAAGTACTACCAAGATTACATTTAATTATAGTAAAAGCAAGTAGCTAATAGGGACTATTCTATCAAAAAGGAAGAAAATGCCTTTCCTTGGCCTTACCTCCACATTTCATTCCTAACTTAGCCCAAATCATATTCTAATACAATAAAGTCAATTTATTCATGGAAAGGTGATAATTAGTATGAAGTCCTCACAAAATGGGTCTGACAGTATTTTTTCTATTTGTACCTCCTTTGGTTGAGATTATTGCATTCAATAACTTTATGGCAAATAAAATTACTTGACTGGCCCACGCAGCAAAACTAAGATTTTTAATAGCAAGCTGCCTTTATATGGGCATATTTTTACATTCTAAAATAACATCTCCATTATCTTGGTTACAGTTCAACGCTTCTAAATCCATAAGAAATATGTTGGGCATGAGTGTATGGTGATGATTCACAGATTTGAAATAACACCTACTCTCCTTCGATTCTGGCACGAAATGTGTCAGTGAAGCCTACAATTAGGAAAATTACCTTGGCCTGTCTTGCCACAGGATGATGACGTCAATCTACACATGGACATCAGAAATGTGTTTGCAAAAATGAATTTAGAAAATAGCTCTACCCTAGCACAGCTTGGTGCCTTGGCAATGTCATCTTTGGCATTAGTACTAGCACTAATAATTTTGGGGGGTTTTTTTGAGACAGGCTTTCGCTATGTAATCCAGGCTGGCCTTAAATTCACTGTGTAGCCCAGTCTGGCCTCAAACTTCCAGCGATCCTTCTGCCTCAGCAGAATACTTCTGCCAAGTACTGGGATTACAACCACCACGCCCAGCAATAACACTAATAATATCGGTGAGAACTACTGTATAGTTTTTTTTTAGTCTAGTCTTATTATGATTTCCTGTTTTATACATGAGAGGTTAAGTGAATTGCTCAAGAGCATACAGCCAGCTAATGGTAGAGCTCGAATTAGAACCTGGATCTCAGATTCGGAGAGTCCTCCTCTTGACTGGGATGGGTTACATAATTTGAAGAGCCTGATACAAGATAAATATGTAGTGCCCCTGTTCAAAAATTATGAATAATTTCAGGGCTGTGTGTGTAGCTCAGTGGTAGAATACTTACATAGTTCAATCCCCAGCACTGAAAAAATTATTAAAAATTTGAAGACAGCAACAGGAAGGTGTTAAAGCAGTGGGGGTGGAGCCCTTCTAAACACAGCCCTACAGCACAGGATGAGAACCTTTGGAGATGGCCCTGCTCCTAACCAGACTGCTTCTCTTCATCATGTCCTCACCCTCCTGCCTAATTCAGCAGTGTCTCGGAACACACTACAACTCCACAGAAGAGGTCCTGTGTAGACCCAGGAGAGGCACAGGTCAGCCTGGAGACAAACCTGTGTGTCTCAGCCAATACTTTAACTTACGGAGGTAAACATTTTGCCTCAATATTACACTCAACAGCAGAATGTATCCCACAATCTTATGTGAGTTTTGAATATAAAGCCTTTTCTTTTGTTGGTTTCTAAGACCTCCATTTTAATTTGTCTTAAGAAAAACAAAAAAAAACTTCAGTGCCTTTCACTGCAGTTTTCATAGCATGCAGTACACTGCTCCTTCCTGCTGTGACTACATCTGCCTCCTTTGATGATGGAAAGGGCCTTACAGCCTCCTAACCACAGTGTTCCGATTAATGAATCCTTTGCTTTTCTGGATCTTCTGTTGAAGATCTTTCCAAACTTTGCACTTGCCACTCTCATTCAGTGGAAAAGTCTGGAGCATTAGTGGAAGGCATTTTCTTGTGTAAACCTTTTACCGTCACACATATCCCAAGAACAAGGAGACTCTGTGGTGTGCACAGAGAAAGTGAGAGAGGCAGTTCACATTTCTAGAGACGGGAATGGACTCTGAGCCTCAGTGGGGAAAGTTTGGAGGGAAAGGTCTCTGTCCTCTGCAGGGTTTTCTACCTAATTGGAGGCCCTGGCTGTACTTTCTTTTCCCTTTCTTGTCTCTGGCTGATTCTCCATTTCCTATCCTCACACATGTGTTTCCTGTGATTCCCTTTTCCATAAGAAACTTTGGTGGTTGCTATTTTTAGTTCCCTCCTACCATGGAGTAAGAGGGAGGAATCAGAGCCAGCACCCAACAGAGATGCTTCA